TGGCTATGGCTTTTGAATAAGGTTTTTTTGTGTGTGTTTTTAACCAAAAATTATTGTGCCGGAGGAAGATGGGGGAGGAGAAAGATCTCACAGCCTGTTGTAGCAGCTGCAGCTTGAGACCGTGTGGAAAATGAAGGCAGATGATTCAATTTGGCCTGTGCCCTGAGTACATTTCCAAATGCTTCTGTGTGTGCGCAAGATAATGAACAAATATATTGAGATGGCACAAGATCAGTCCGAGTTTGCTGCTGAGCAAACTGCAGAGCTCCCAGTAGGAGCGAACTCGCTTTGGTAGGTTAATGGGGGTGAGGGTTGTTGAGCCCAGCACCTTTCAGAACAACTTTAGAAAATAATTTGTCTCCTTTTGCCCCAGGGCCCCCAGTGGCACTCTAAAGGGAACTTTTGATAAATCAAAGTGTATTTATTAATCGTGAGTGGAGGGCAGCATGCCTAAAATTCGAAAATAGGTGTGTCACTGCTTTTTAAAAAAAGCTGGATTGGGTTATGGTGTTTAATCACGCTACATGATGTCCAATGATGTGTGGTTCATATTTCTTGGCTGGGACTGTGGTTTGGGATTACCCATGAGCACCTGGAGTCTGTAAACAGGTTGGAGCTCTTCATGCCTGGCTGGTTTTCCCCTCTGGTTTCCCTTGGCCCTCTGCCCCCTTCAACTCCATCATGTCAGGTTCTGTGTGGAAACAAAAGGCAGCCTCTTTCACATTTTCTTCTGAGGCCAGTTCCACATGGAAGCAATTGAATGAGGTCAGGGACATAATCCACTCAAGCGCTGTCTTTCTGTCCATCTTGGGAGTGTCTCATCGTTAGCCTATAGCTGGAGGGCTGTCCACTCCAAGTCCAGTTTGAAACCATAGGAAGGGAGAGTGGAAGTGTTGAAGTTGCCCATTAGCATTTAGCAGCTGGACAGTAGACTTTAACAGGCACACTGTTCACCTGATCACAAGTCTTCCCAAATGTGGTGAGATGTATAGTATTTCTATTTAAAGAACCATGATTATTTCTAAATGTACATCTAAAAATCTAGATATGGATATGCAAATATTATGCTAATTTCTGTGTGCAGAAATTCCTGGTCAGAAAGGCTGAGAACAGCCTCTGCCTGTAATCTTGGGGAGGTGCTGCTACTCATATAATATTGAGAGCCCTGTCCCAATGGCCTGACTTCATAGAAGGCAGTTTCTAATATCTGAAACTATCCAAAATATTGACTGCCAGTTATGGCTTATGAGGCTGTGCATCTATACTATTCACTTCTTGTGTCAATTGCACCCCAGAACTGAAAGGCTTGGATCTCCCTTGAATCCCAATTTGGGGGGAATAGCAGGCTAGATGATGGTGGCGATGGTGATATTGTTGTGATTATCTCAATTCTTGCAACACTTTCATGATCTCCTTGTGGGGTGCAGCCCTTTTGACATCAAGCAAAGGGATAAGGAAGAAATAAATTGATTTGGAAAGCTGGGGGGAGGGGGTCATATTGCATTTCTCTCCTCAGGAACTTAATGTATGCCCTTATCTGCCAAGTTGTGCATCAGAAACCAATACATTGCATTTAGAAAAGCAACATGCTCTCCCAATTTAGTCCTTTGTGTGTGTGTCATTAAGGTAATTACTAAGGAATTAAAACAGGTTGGCATGGTGTTCTGGCAGCAAAGGGTACGGGCTTCCCTCCTGGCAGGCTGCAGGTGTAAATGAACAAGAGGTTGACAACCCTCTTAATTCGTGGCAGGAAACAGTGGACAGAGGTACTGAAGCAAGTTTAATAATTGATATTTACTCTGAAAGGTTAATGGTAGCAGTAATGCTTCTAATTTGCTTCCCCATACAAGATCTTATTAGGTCAGCTTCTCTTCGAGATTTTTTTTATTAGTTGGAAGTGTTCAGTTTTCGACATTGTAGAGGAAGAGAAAGAGGGCAGCGTAAAGATATGCCAGCCATTCTAGTCAGAGCTTCAGAAGTTCTAGTCTAAAAATATACCATTACAAGTTGATTCTGCCTTATCTTTAATGCTTAAAATCAGAGGATTTAAAGATTTTTTTATTTTTGGAATACCTGTATTTGCGTATACATAGTGATTGAGAAATAGGTGGGAAAGAGGGCTAGCTATACATTCAGTACCTGCTGAGCTATTCCTCAAGGAGCTCTCATTCTACCACTGTCAGAAATTTGATGGGAGAAAGGGAAGTGGGAGAGGACTCCAGGTCTTGCTGCTTGACTTACACAAAGCCCCTATAAAAAGCAGGCATTAGGCAAAGGAAAGCTCCAGATGTATCTGACTGCCACGGGCTCAGGAAGTGTTGGAAAGCTCTAGCTGCCTGGCCATTCCACGCTGCACTCTCCTTTCACCAGGCCAGTGGCACATAGGACAGATGTGGCATACATTCTTGTCCACAGTTTCTTGTATCTATTCAAAGACCAGGAATATAGCCCTTGGGATACAGGGTTCATATTGTGTTTCCAAACGTTTTGAAGGTCTGACTTCATCTCAGATTTTTAAGGAGGAGGTACAACATGTTAAGGGCTATTATGGCTTAGTGGATTCATTGTTGGACTAAGATTCTAAGAGGTGAGAGTTCAAATCTCTGCTCCACCCGGAAAAAACCTTGCCAAGAAAACCCTAAGCGAAGTTTACCATATGTTGGCATCAACTTGGAGGCATATAACAACAACACCTGTGCCATTTACAATAGAAATAGTGTATGCTTTAAGATCATCTGGAGAGGCCCTGATCTCAATCCTGCCTTCGTCACAAGTACATGCACGGTTGGCAGGGACGAGAGACAGGGCCTTCTCAGTGGTGGCCCCTCGGCTATGGAACACCCTCCCCAGGGATATTAGATTGGCCCCTTCCCTTTTAACATTTCAAAAGCAGGTCAAGACGTGGCTCTTTGAGCAAGCGTTTGCAAACACAATATAACAAACATGGAGAAAAACGGAACGATGTTATTGGATAACGATGTTATTGGATAACGCTTTTAACTAGGAGACTCAAATTGATATATGTTTTTATTGATATTGATTGTTTTACTTGGTTTTATATTTAAATTGAGATATATATATATATATATATATATATATATATATATATATATAATTTTTATTAAGACATATTCTTACAGGTATATAGGTAAAATTGGGAATTGGGAGTATTGGGATTGATGGTAGGGAAAGGGAGGGAGTGGATTGAGGAGGAGGGGTGGGGGTGCTGACTACAGAGGGGTTGCGTGAGGCAGGGGAGGAGATGTACGGAATCTGGGGTGGGAAAAAGGTACGGAAGGGGGGGTGAGGGGAGTGATGGGGGTCTTCTGACTTCCTTTATCTTCTTCTCTCTGGTTCTATCTTTTTTGTCTTCTTCCTTCTTCTGAGATTTCATTCTTCCTCTTCTTTTATGTCATGTCTATTTTGATATACTGATATGTATTCCTCAAATAGCTTCTAATCCGTTTTTTTCATTGGTCTTCCATATGAGTCTTTTAATGCAAAGGTCAGTTTATCCATGTCTTTAATTTCCTTCACCTTACTTATCCATTCTTCCTTTGTGGCTACATCTTTCTGTTTCCATTTTTTCCCCAAAACTATTCTTGCTGCCGTGATACAATAATTAAACAAGATATCCTTATTCTGGCCTAATTCCAATTCTTCATCTGTTATTCCCAGTAGAAAGTATTCTGGTTTCATCTGAATTTTTATTTTTAAGATCTTCTCACATTCTTGTTTTATCATTTTCCAATATGCACTGATTACCGGGCACGTCCACCACGCATGGTAAAAAGTTCAAATCTGTGATTCACATTTCCAACATTTGTTTCTAACATTATCATACATTATGCCTAATTTTTGTGGCGTCATATACCACCTATAAAATTTTTTTAGCCAATTTTCCTGCAAATCTGTCGAATAAGTATATTTGATCTTTTTTGTCCAAATTTGTTCCCATTCTTTGTATTGTATCTGTCTTCCAATATTCCTTGCCCACTTAATCATACAGTCTTTTATTACTTCTGTTCGTAAATGTATCATGGTTTCAATACCTACTCAATTCGTAAATGTATCATGGTTTCAATACCTACAGCTTAAAGAATATTATAACTCAGATTAAAAAAATGGCTTCATGACCAAAGAAGACATATGAGACCAAATTTTGGGAAAGAAGAAAAAAAAACATTACAATAATTTGTTACAAATTATTGTAATGTTTTTTTTTCTTCTTTCCCAAAATTTGGTCCCATATGTCTTCTTTGGTCATGAAGCCATTTTTTTTATCTGAGTTATAATATTCTTTAAGCTGTAGGTATTGAAACCATGATACATTTACGAATTGAGTATTTATCTCTTCTCTTGTCTTCAGTTGTAATTTGTTGTCTTTTTTCAATAATACATCTTTGTATGTTGGCCAATTGGTCCATCCTAACAATCTTCTTTGCTTTGCTTCTAGTGGTGATGCCCACCGTGGTGTTTTTGGGTACATTCTTGTTCTATATTTATTCCAAATCTTTATTAATGCTGCCCCGATGAAGTGGTTATTGAATTTTTTTCTTTTGAAGTTTGATTGTACCACAGGTACTGATTGTTTTTAAATTGTATTTTATGTCTTTGATATTGACTGTAAACCGCTCTGAGTCGCCTGTGGGCTGAGAGGGGCTGTATATAAATGTAGTAAATAAATAAATAAATATGACATATCCAGATGAAAAGATTACATGGTGGAGAGATCAATGGGGATGGCTGTAATAATATAACTGGCCTATCTTAATATTATCCGTAATGAAAAAAATATCAGCCTATTTTAGTGTCCTGTGATAAGGATTAACACTGTGATGACTTTGGAACACTCAGTTAAATGTAGGACCTCTCCAAATTGTACAGTTTCTACCTAATGGACTAGTTGGACACACAAGGAAGTCTTTTGAATAAGTTTAAAAGCAGTAGGGGAAATTGTTTCCTACAGGCCAGTTTTTAACCCGTCCTATTCCTTGCAGATGAAGGTCCCTGCAAAGCGGAGCAACCGGAACAGTGAGGATGACAGCATCCGGGAGGCCACGAGCTCCCAGCTCAGCAGCTCCAGGGACTGCCTTAGTGACGTGAGTACATTCAAGAAACAAGGGGTGCCCCATTGCAGCAGTTGCGTTTTCCTCCACGAGCAGATGTTGGTACCCAGAGGTCATAGTAGAGCATCCTTTCCCCTCCCCAAACTATGATTGAGTCCAATGAGACAAGCAATCAAGCTTCCTGGCAAACATTGCAATCATAGCACACATAATATAATAAGTGAAAGACCAGAGACTGGGGAAACAAAGTTAAATTGCTATCCCTCAGAGGAAAGATGGCTAAAGATTATGTTCTTTGAGAAGATAAGTTATGTTTGTATAGGGAGAAGCTTACAGACAGGGGGAGCTTTTGTGCATCTTTAGCTTGTTTCATGTTATTTCTTTCATAAGAAAAGAGTGGGGATGTCTAAGAAGGGCAATACGTTATATGTTTGTTTTTGTTTTTGTTTTTGTTTTTTAAAAAACAACCACAACCTTATTGTTTCCTATTGTTTATTTATTTGTTTGTTTCCTGCCCCATCTCCCCCATGGATCGAACCAGGAAACAACAACATCTTAAATTGTAACAGATACCACCAGTTAAGAACACATAATACATAAAACATTTAAAAATCATTTTAAAAGAACATATACAATCAATGCATCTTAAAACAGCTAGTAGTAGTAATTTTATTGATTAGCCCTTAGGCCTTATCACAATACCAAACAAAACAAGCAGTTTCATGTAAATGTTAAAAAGCATTGGGGATAGAATGGTCACATAACCGCACCTTTTTTGAAGAGCGGCTATCCCCAAGCCCATCTGGAACCTGCCTGAGGCCCCTTTCAGGTGCTCTAGAAGGGTCCCATGGTCAATAGTATTGAATTCCACTGAGAGGTTCAAAAGCACCAGCAGGGACACACACCCTCATCAATGATCAGGTGAAGACCATTCGCTTAAGCAACCATAATGGTCTTAACTCTTATCTCAAGCTCATTTGAAATGGATGTAGATAAATCGTGTCATCCAAGACTGCCTGGAGTTGATACTGGTCTATAATTGTTTAAGCCCAGGGATGGCTTTTTCTGAAGTGGTTGTACCACCACTTCTTTTGATCAGGATGGAAACCTTCCCTTCCTGAGAGATGCATTAATAATATGTTGTGGCTGAGGTCTCCCTGCATCTCCTCCCTCGATGACCAGCCAAGGGGGAGAGGGATCAACAGCTTGTCCACATCTGTGGCACTCAACAACCAAAACTGATCGTGTTTGCTTAATGAAGTAGAAGTGTTCCTCTGCATTACCTTTTAACAGAAAATTGGGTACCCGATCAGAAATAACAGGGAAAGAATAAATATAGGTTCCTCCACCTCAAAAAAAGTAGTTCAACATGTTTCAGCAAACGTTTTATTCATAACCATCATTATGCAGATGTGACAGGAAACAACAGGTCAAGTAAGGCTTATCCCCTTTTCTCTCTGTTTTCGTGTTCACACATGCTCAGTAAGGGATTCTGAAGGTAGGTGCTGTTTACCTTACCTTATATAGGCAGGCACACACAACTACATGGAATCAGTTAGAATATTCCTTCCCAGTTCAAGCTTGATTGCATTACTTACTGTAAACTTGCTACTGCAACCCAGCGCCAAGAATCTGTGTTTCCTTGGCCTTGCTTCACCATCATTCAGTGGCAATGCTGCTAAGAAACTTTCAGCTAGACAGAGAACAAGGATGAAAAGGTAAAGCAGGATGAGAAAGGCTCTGTGAAAAACAACATCTTTTTTCAGAAGCTTTGTTAATTGAATTAAATATTTTGAATTCCATGGATAAGCTGAGCTCTCATATTTTGTGCTATGTGTTAGACAAGGGGATGTTCACTTTTGGGAGGAGGAGGTACAGATCCTTTTGTTGAAGAAAACGTCATTCTACTTTTGATGTAATAGCATAAAACAAAACCATGGTTTGGTGTGTGTAAATGCATAAATGGTTCCCATCCTCCCCCAAGACCTGGCCTCAGTCACCAGGAAATCAGTGAAAATGCTGGGACAATTTTATGTGAAGGCATTTTTTGGTGTTCTCAGTTAGCATTTTGCTTTCATTAAAACATGATTTTTTGCTAATTAGGACCTCCTCCGTTAGGAGAGATGTAAATGATGAACAATAATCAAACAGAGTCACAAAGCATGTATGACATATTAAATTTAACATTTTAATGGCGAGCCACAGTTACATTGCAGAAAGAGTGGGTTTTCATGTTGAGTTCTATTAATGTGAAATATGCTTCATAACTAAAACCTGTCACAGGGAAGGCTGCTCACACCAGCCAAATTCAATTGGACAGTTAATTTAGCTTTAAAATTGAAAACACTACCTCTGTTTCTGGATGCAAAAAAAATGTAGTGGGGGGGGGTGACTCCTTTGATAGGAGTAATGTATTTGCTATTAAAGCTTTTGGAATTTATTCTCCCGACGAAGGGGAAGAGGGAGAGAGGAGGGGGTAAAATGGCTCCCACAAATGTGTTTAAAAACTGAAAGTATTTATTAAAAATGTCAGTAGAAAAGTGCTTTTGGCAGATTAAAACGGGATTCAGCTTGACAGCTCTGACAGCAAAATGTGACAGTGGTGGTATTGTGGGGTGGTGGCGGTGGTAGAATTCGCTCTGCATGTTTTGAGTGCCAATGGGGTGCTATAAACAGCCTGTGCGGTGGGAAGAAATGAGTGGGGTTGGGGAGGGAAGAAACACAGCCCTGTTTGATTCCAGGAGAAAGAATTGTTTCTGTATCCTAAGTGAACAAGCAATGGTGCTGGGAGCTGAGCAGGTTAGGAGAAGGGATGATACCCTTGTGATAATACAATATTGTTTGCCTGAGGTTGTTCGTTGGGGTGTTACCCCCCCCCCCCCAAGCGCCGTGTTTCTTAAAACATCAATTGTCTCTGTCTTAGTTGCACTTCAGGCACACCAATGAAATGCACAGATATAGAATGGGGACAACTGGCTTGAAACCAGTACATGGGGAAAGGATCTAGGAGTCTTAGGAAACCACAGACTGAACATAAATCGAGAGTGTTATGCAGCAGATAAAAAACACAAATACGATTCTAGATTATGATGATGATGAGGAGGAGGAGGAGGTGCTGCTGCTGGGAAGCACAGTTGAAAGCAGAAGCAAAAGATTTGACCACCTTTCTTTACTGAAAGATGGATCTGTGACAAAAAAATATTGCAATCAATAGTAGCATAGTCAGTGATTTCTTTTTAATGACAATGTTATAGATTAGTACTCTGGCCAAAGGAAGTAGACCACAAGCTGAACACGAGTCAGCAGTGCGAGGTGGCATCTAAAAAAGCCAATGCAATTGTAGGGTGTATCAATAGGAGTATAGTGTTGAGATTGAGGGAAGTCATAATCCCGCTATTTTCTGCTTTGGTCAAGCCTCACCAACAATAACCTTGTGCTCAGTTCTGGACACCACAAATCAAGGAAGATATGGACAAGCTGGGAGGTATCCATAGAAGGACCACCAAAATAGTAAAAGGTTTGGAAACCAAAGCCTATGAGGAACAGCTGAGAGAGATGACTAGGGTTTTTTTGGGGAAAAGGAAGGCTGAGAGAAGGGGACATGAAAGCCATGTTTAAATATTTGAAAGGATGTGACATTGAGAGGAAAAAGGCAAGCCTGCTTTCTCTTTCTCCAGAGACCAGGACAAAATGGAGAAATTGATTCAAATTGCAGAAAAATAGATTCCACCTAAACATTAGGAAGAACATCCTGGCAGTAAGAGCTGTTCAGCAGTGGAATATCCTGCCTCAGAGTATGGTGGCATCTCAATCCCTGGGGGTTTTCAAGCAAAGGCTGGATGGCCATCTGCAGGGATACTTTGATTCTGTGTTTCTTCTTTGTGGTCTCTGTGAAATTGCACACATGGTATTTTCCTGTGGCTGCGCAGTAAGTCTCAGAATCTTCTGGAAAGCTTCTGACACTTATGCCTATAGCCCCACCCACAGTCACCAGTAAGTATATAGCCAGTGGGAGGTGCTGTAGCCTCAGTTCCTTTTGTCTGCTGCCTTAACAACAAGCAAAGGAATATCTCAAATTGACTAGCTTACCTTGTGTTGACCTACAGACTGTTTGACTACTCTTTGGATACTTCTACTTTACTACAGCTGTTAACACGAACTGTGAACGACTCAGGCCAGTAATGTCTACCCCTTGCTTTAAAAAATGTGCATCCTGTGGCATTGAGTTGCCAGACGCTGATGGACATGATATGAGTTCGTTGTGCTTTGGTGAAGGGCACATTGTAAGTTCTTGTTGGGTGTTTCTCGTTTATTTATTTATTTATTTATTTATTTAAAACACTTATATTCCGCCCTTCTCACCCCGAAGGGGACTCAGAGCGGAGAACAACATATACATGGCAAACATTCAATGCCTGGGTACAATACATAAACATTAAAAAACATTTATCTAAATATTAAAATACACCATTTAAAATAACACAATTTAAAACCGTCCTAGCCATCCCCATTACACCCTAGGCCAGGAAGAACTGGGACTTAAATCTCAAAGCCATGCTTTATGAGCAAGCTCTGCTTCCCATCGCTCCCAGCCCCAGAAAGTGGGCCACGTTGGAGCCACCAACTTCCTTAAGCAAACAAATGCCCTTACCTTCAGGTGGCAATGCCTCCTCTTCACTGGTGGGGATGACTCCAACAGAGGCAAAGTGCTCCAAATTAGCATCTGTGGGGAAGCACCCAGCAGGAGAGCCCCACTGAAGAAATGGGGGAAGAACCAAAAGCCTCCCGCAGCAAAGAGAGGGCAGGTTACTTTGTGTTGCCATAAAGTCTAGGAGCCCTTCTACACTGGCCCAAAATGTGGGCCCAATTCGGCAACCCAGACACTAGATTGGACCCTTATGGAGTCCAGATAGAGACTCCCTCAGTTGTCTCAGAGGTAGAAGGGTGCCCCTATTGCCCAACCACACCTAAAACAGTTTGGTTGGGCATGGATGGACACCTACCTGGTCCTTGGTGCTTTGGCCAACACCAGC